TATATATATATATATAGCTTTTTAAATGATAGAAGTCTGCGCGAACTGAATTTTCAATCGACTGTAAATCGTTTGTAACATTCGAGAAGGTTAGAATATTACAAATAAATGTTCGTAATAGAAAAGACACGCGAGGAAATAAGAGATAAAAGGGTAAAGAAAGTACAGTTTTGTTTCTAGAGAAGGAGGAAGAAAAGGAGGGGGAATAAACACATCAGACAGCACACGTTTGTACTCGTATGATGTTGTGCGTGAGTGCCTATGTATTGACCAGGTGTTTCGGTCAGGATGGAAACATACATGTGTGGTGGTCGAGTGAGATAGGATAGAAAGAGAGAGAGACAGACAGAGAAAGAGAGAGAGAGAGAGAGAGAGACAGAGAGAGAGAGAGAGAGAGAGAGAGAGACAGAGAGAGAGAGAGAGAGAGAGAGAGAGAGAGAGATGCAGTCAGTAGTCAGCCAGGATGGAATTAGGTAGAAGCCCGCGGGAACGGTGCTTCTCCCTAGGGAATCTCCGGCCTCTGTAATCACCAGTTCTTCTATCCTATCCAATTCTGGTCGCACTCCTATCCTCCCTCTTCTTCTTCTTCGTTCTTTCTCTCTTTTCTTTTTACTTTTTGTCTCTACATATGTATGTACTTACTTACATATGTGTGCAACATATTTGCTTCTTTTTCATTAGACATTAATCAAATTTTTTTTTACAATATTTCATAAATCTCTAATTAAATACATTTTTCTTTCTCTCTCTTTCTCTTTTTTTTTTTACGCATATATAGTTTTATAAGATAATTTATAGAGTTTTACTGCTTTTAGGAATGCAAATGATATGAAATTGACATAATCTTAATGATATCATGGAAGATTAATTAGAAATATTGTGTCTAATTTGTATGAAAAAGTAATCGGTATGCTATACGGTATGGTCAATAGTCTCTACCGCGATTAGAATGTCACGAGAGCGCGGTTAGCCACGAAATAGCAAACCGAACCGATATCGGTACGAACGTAGTGATATAGGGTGTTGCTAATTAATGCACGATAATGAACCTACGCGTAGCCAAAGCTGTATTAATGGATTCCAATGCCCATCATAACGTGGTCGATCCGTAGATGCATTCAAACCGACTATAATTACGTTAATGGAGACCCATCTGTTTGTACGGTTCGGTTTTAAGTTGCTCACTGTGCAATGATGAAGTCGTTACTTCCTCGAAATTCTGTTGGATCATCTATGGCCTCGTAATTTCGAATATTCATTTAAGTTTAACGTGGTTTATATTATCCCTAAATTCGTATTTCAATATTTTTATTACGTTTACAATCATTTCATTATTCGTATGCATGTAAGCAAATAGTGATCATTTATTATGTTTCTAGACCATTATTAGAATTTGTGATTATTCGCATAAATGCATAATTATTATTTTCGAAATAGGTCAAATCCCATGAATAACTAAAAAAACGACGATGGATCTTTCGCGCACAAAACATATTTATTTGTATATCTAATATTCTCTAATGATATTTCTTCTTACATTAGACAATATAAGACAGACAAGGAGTGGCTAGTAATAGGAATGTAAATTTCTGGCTTAGGGACTTAAGCCCTTTAATCGTAGAGGTCCTCTAAAACCTAAGCCGCTATTAGTTTTTGCTCTGACAAGACTAATTCCTGCTAGTGGTTACAATCATTATAATACTGCGACATTTTGGATTAAGTTATTGGCTTTTCGTTAAATTATTATCTATGGTAATGTGTGTGTCTCTCCCCCTGCTTTAACAGAGAGATATCGCCATTACGACTTTGTCTACGTTGGTTAGTATGAAATCGTTGGATTTATTGGCCGAAATACGTGGGCTAGTGAAATTATAGTCCATCTCTATCTCTTTTGTAATATCGATAGACTCATCGTACATACATGCAATGGTAAGACGAAGCGGTGTCTCGAGAGGTGCATGGAATGCGGAACCGGTGCATACTCTTAAGAAGAAGAACACAAGGCATACTCGACAAGACATTCCTGAGAAGCAATCCCTTTGAAGAGACTCCAAGTGTTGACGTCCGTCTATCCGTTTGTTCGTTTGTTCGTTCGTTCGTTCGCTCGTTCGTTCGTTCGATACACCTCTCGTTTCGTTTCCTTACGTCAATTTTATGATTCGATAATAATTAACTGTCCTATAGAATATTTTAATCAAATAGAAGCCATATTTTCTAACTATTATTTTTAATCTTTCAGAGCATCATAATAAAAAAGTCAACTATAAGAAATAAAGTCGAAAAGGAATGATGAAATCGCCAGAACATAGATGCTATCGAGTAAAAAAGTTGCAACGTCAGTATGCATCGCGTTTGAGGATCTCTCGAGTAGGAAACGTAGTGGAATGGAGCTCGGTAGGATAGGAAAAGAGTTTCCGCAATATCCGTGGGTCCTCGAGGCGCCGTGTCGGAGCCAGAGGGGGTTTCGACGGCGGATGTCGGTGTCCCATGGGAGTCTGAGTCCGCGTCAGACCTACCCTAGGTACCTTCTCTTGGGATTTCTCGACTTTCCTCTTCCACCCAGCAGCCCCTCGTGCACCGCTGACTGCAGCAATAGCACCGATGGCTGCAGCAACGGCGGCCCTTCTCTCTTGCACATATTTTCCTTCTTCCTCTCTCTCTCTCTCTCTCTCTCTCTCTCTCTCTCTCTCTCTCTCTCTCTCTCTCTCTCTCTCTCTCTCTCTCTCTCTCTCTCTCTCTCTCTCTCTCTCTCTTGACTGTCTGGCTTGCCTGTCACGAGTCCAAGACGTACGGCGTCTGCAGCCGGGAAGCAGAGATAGCAGTCGTCTCGGATAACCCGCAGGGCGCTCCTTTATTCACGGCATATCGATTAATGACTCAAAACCCTGCGGCTTCTCCGTTGGCGGACGATCTGGCAAGTCCTTCTTCTGTCTCTTTGCTAATTTCTCAAGACGGGAGAAGAGAGAAAATCGTAGCCCTTCCTGTAACATCTCTTCGCTCTTCTTCTTTCTTCTTAATTAACGTTTCAACCAGCGCTTACATTCCAAACGATTCTTTCTCCAAATTTATTCCACATAGAAATTGGTACAGGATGTGCTGATTTTTTGATTGTTTTTTTTTTTGACAAAATTTCGCGGCACAGTTAGCTTTACATTTAATTTTTTTCTAATGTTGTGTAAATTCTAAATTATTTAGATATCTCTTCATTTTTCTAAGTTTGATTTCACTTCAGTGGTAAATAATAAATTGTTGTTTTATATATTTGAGATTTAACACATAGGTATATTATCGTTTTGAAGGCTAAACTCGTTATTGGAAAAGATAAAAGCGGTATTGCGTCGAAACGAGAATACCGATGGACGAGCGAACCTAGGCAAGGGTTTAAGCCGCAATATGCAGTTATCCGTTGGTTCATATACGTTTAGACTGTCTCATAATAATATATCTGTTTAACATTACTTGCGAACCTGATTCTACTTCTAACAACGACCCGAGATTACTACTTGTATCTTCTAAAGCTTATTTCTGTCTTTTCCTTTTTTTTTCTTTTTTTCTTTCTTAGGTTTGTTTCCTTTCGAAGCTACTTCTTCCACCCTTCTGCATTTACTAGACCATCTTGAAAATGGCCTTCTTCGTCTAAGCACATTACGTTTTCTTCTTGTAAAGCTACCTACTTTATGCTTAGGTGTATAGGTATATTCGTCTAGTACGCTTGGGTTACCTTAAAGATGATAGCCAATCTCCTTACCTTTACGATTATTGTTTGCTTAGATCGTCTCCTAGTTCACCAGCCAAATTGTTTACTATATTTACGATATATCGAGTGTTTTCTTGTACAATGTTACATGCTAACGTTAAAAGTATATTTAATATCTGGCGTTTAATTATAAAACTTTTCGAAATGATGGATTTTTCTTTATTTGTGTTAACAGTAGAATTTATTTATTAATAATACATTTTGATTAGAACTTTCCCAAAATTGTTAATAAGTTTAGACGCTTTTGAAAGACCGTGTTTTTATGATTAATTTGTAATAAAGTAACCATACACGAGGATACGTGCTAAGACAACGTGTCACGAATTTGACGGCTGACATGGTTCGAAGGGTGCTTTAGTAAGCAGTCTTCTTGGTGTCCTTGTCTTTTGAAATATTCAAGTTCAACTTCCTCCTTTCGTTCTTGTGCAAGTCATTGTTTCTAGCCTGACGGTTAATGCATATCATCGATAATCGAATTTACCATATCATTCGTGGTATAGAAATGATAAAAGCACTGTATTGTAATCCTCTATAATTATACTAACAATCAAAAGTTTTCGGTAATAAGATGAAATGATACTTGGAAAAATACAGTTATGCGACGTTTTAGACAGTTAAAGTAAATTTGTTCTTGTCATATTAGTTGAAAATACAAATCATTAGTATGATAAGAAATTCGTTGAATTTAATAAGTCGGTAGGTTAGTGACATATTCTTGTTTTGCTTGAAACGAACGCATTTGACACCTTTCGAAATTGTGAACTCGAAGTAGCAAGCAATCCTCAAAGTGGCAAGTTCGTGAAGTAAATTGGCCAGAGTTGGCTCTTTACACTCTGAGGGGTAAAAGGACGAGGCGCGTGGGTGGTTTGATAAGGGTGAGGAAAGAAAAGAGATAGGACGAGGGTGAAAAAGAAAGAGGGGGAGGAAAATGAGCAACGGGAGAGGAAACGAGGGAAGTGGAAAACGGCAAGTAACAAACGACTCGTTGGCCACGTGGACAGAGCGGTGATTTTTTAAGTTTAATTTTGCGGTCCCATGTGACAAACGACTGTAACTATGGCGTCATGGGCGTCACTATATATACCTATGTACGTTATATACCGTGAGAGAATATATTTTGTGGCTACGAACATCACACCCTCACCGTTTTATCTTTCGAGTATGCGCATGCCCCTTTCTCCTTTAAATTATAAAGTTCAACAAATTTGTTGTCTTCGTCATTCGTTCATTTTCGAATCATTTATCTTCTTCTCTCTCTCTTTTTCTTTTTGCTTCCTGATTTCACATTGACACGATATAATTAATTTTATTCTATATTGCATATCATATAACTGTATTTTAAAAACATATTATTTGTTTGTTTTGTTTCATTGTCGTTGTTGTTATTTAACTTTGTACCAGGCCATTTTTCTTTGCAACATACAACAGATTTCATTTCTTACACGGTGATAATATGCAAATGCAATGGAATTAATGGTCGTTTGTTTCTCTGCAGGGGACGAAGAGTGGGATGATGCCAACGAACAGAATGTCCTGGAGGCGTCTGAACAGGATAACGAAACTGCTCCGATTAAACGTAAGTGTTATTTCATATTTTTCTGCTAATAGACTTGTATCATACTATATGTGTTATTCAATTATTATTTATGATAGTAGAATATTTATTTAGTTTCAAACATTTGATCTCCTTTTCATTTATATTATCGAGAATTTTCTCTATTGCGAAAGTTATTATTTTCATTTCTATTTTTCATCGAAATGATTAATATATGCAAATATGGATATTTTATTTGCGTTATTTTGATATTTTAGCCGAGGATGAAGACGAGGAAGAAGAAGAAGAATTACAACGAGCTTTTAGTCGACATTCCGAAGGTGAGTCAACTTTGAATAATTTCTATGTACTCTCTCTTTCTCTCTCTTTCTCTTTTTTTAAATGACAATTGTGTCAAACATTAGAGTAGAGAAAACTACTATAGGAAGAAATTCGTATGACGGTCACAAATTTCGAGGTATTTCGATGAATAATGAAAAGAGATTCGGTGGAAAAGTTCGTAGAGGCGATATCTTTTTCGGTGCATTCGGGTGCATTACTTTTATCAGTACTCAAGGGACAAGCAGCTGAGTTCAAGCTACGGCAATACAACAATGCGTTGGGACGCATCGTGTCATTGTTCGAAGGTGCTCAGGAATTGCAATCTCACTATAGATTTTATGAATATGGAATCCTTTGTCCCATAGGATGGGGCATAGCAAGGTATATGAAGAGCCTAACATAAACGTGCTTACTCGTCGATATGTTTCTTTTCATGGCCATCGAAAATCTAACTAAATCTATTTCAATAGATCTTTAATTATTTAAGCAGGGAGACATCATTTACTTCAAACTAATCGTTCGATCAATTATCAGTTATTTATGAAATAACGATTAACGAAAGAATTGAGAAAAATTGATTAAGATATTAAGAAACACGGTGAAAATATCATTGACGTTATCTTTAGCGATAAAGTATTTTTTTTTTCTTTTCTTTTTTTTGTAGGAAATAACGGTTGAAAATGTATAACTTTTATTTAAAAAAATTGTCGATATTATTAAGGAATATCTATTATTTTTTCTTTTTTCTTGTAGCCTCTTTTTCCATCGCGAAGGGAGAGTAAAAAGTTTGGAAAGATTCTCTTCCTCTTTTAAAATAGGTAGGTAGGTAGGTAGGTAGGTAGGTAGGTAGGTATCTACTACTTTCCTTCCACGAGTAGAAGCTGGATCTTTTATCCGTCCCTCTAGCAACGCGGCTCGATTATTATTTCAAGTTACCTTTCGCCAAGTGTACTTGCACGCGCTTTATACTCGAAGGTAAAGCGGGCTCGGAGAAGGCTTGGAACGAGGTTGGATCCCTGAGGAGGGCACTACTTCCCATGGGAGATGCCTCGTCTATCTGCTCACCTGAAAACATCAAGCCATCTTCTTTCCTTCCTTCCTTCCTTCCTTCCTTCCTTCCTTCCTTCCTATCTTCATATCTTTCTTCTTATCTTATTTTTTTCCTATCTTCTTTCTTTCTAACAGCTCATGTACTAACGCTCCTTATTACGTTGGTATAAAAAAAGTTGATGTAATGAGACCTCATCAAACTTTGTCTACAAGTTTTTCCAAAAGTATTAAAACCTAAATGTCTCTACCGAAACTAAAGGAAGATTTTATTAGATTGGAAAATATCCTTACCAAATTTTTTAACAACTATACTTATTTTTTATAACCCTAATAATCTTTTTTTTTCGCCCCCTTTCGAGTTGAGACAAAAATTTTGTCAAGGAAAATAATCTTCTTTATACCCCTTTTCAATGACATATATTTAAAAATCAATTATTTTTCATTTGTTCTATCATAAAAAGATCTTCCCCAATTTTCTATATATCATATAATTATTAATGAAGAAAATAATAGACCTTTCTATTTATCTAAATTCCATAGCTATATCGTGAAAGCCAAAGCACGTGCGTTCCTATCATTCCACGAATGCACGACGGTGTTGGTAAGACGCTTCCGACACTCGGTAATCCAATAACGTGCGGTTTTGGCACGCCATGAAATGCGTTAATCCGTTTAGCCTCCATTATTTGTCTAACCACTTAACGATAATTAATGTCGATCGAATTATTCTGTATTTTATATTTTTTTTTTTCTCTTAATCATTATTTACAATATTATATTATAATATATCAAAATAACGATTGTTCCTCATTATTTATTTGTCCGTTATTAAATAAAAATGATTATTTAAACGTACGTAAGACTTTTAAAAGCTTTAAACGCGTCGAATAATTTTACATTCGCAATCGTGTTTAAGGTGAGAAATATCGAACAAACAAAAACCATCCTGGGATCTACCTTTGCCACTTGAGTTCTTCTGCTATTTTACTCGTGCTGGAGAAAAGAATTATATCGCGAGACGATTGTTCTTCGCATCATTATTTCACTTTTGTCGACATTCAGATCGAGAAAGAGAAAAAGAGAGAGAGAGAGAGAAACATATAATGCACGTGAAAATGATCGACAGTGTTAACTACATAAGAGAAAGATAGACAGACTATTTAATGTCTGTAATAATAAACAAAAAGAAAAAAAAAAAAAGAGAGAAAGAGATGAGTAAAAGAAAAGGTGATGATCGCTTGGGATTGCTAATGAGCCCAAAACAAGCTTGCACCAACTGGAAATAAACGTTTGCATAGAAAAAGATCGTGATCGAGATCGAGAAGAGAAAGAGAGAGAGAGAGAGAGAAACAGAGAGAGAGTGAGTGAGTGAGTGAGTGTGTGCGTGTCCATCTATGTGTATGCACGTATACATGTATATCTCCGATGTTTTATATTATCATCCGGGGAATATTGGCTTCGTTTCAACCCCGTTGGTTAATGCCTTAATGCAAACATTGTGAAGAGAACGAAGCCGAAAGTGAGGGGGTGGATTGGTTAGAGAGTGGCTGGTTGGATATGTAGAAAGAAAAAAAAAAGATATACCGAAGAAGGGGTGAAGGAATGCATCGATGTTTATCCCCTACAACTCGGCGAGCTTCGATTGTTCGGAAAATCAGCAAAATGTACCTTGTAATCGTCTTGTCCTTTTGTTTCCTTTTTTTTTATTTTTCTCTCTTTGTTTTTTGTCACATCCGATGCAACGAATTAAGAATGAATCCTTATTTCGTAAACGTGCTTGTTTTATGATTACGTTGACGTTTCTTTGATCATCATTTCCTGGAATCGATTAAAATTTCAGTGTAGACAATTTAATTTCATATATTACGTGATTCGTTATATTTTTTTTTTTATTAAATTTTACAAAATTTCTCATTTCTAAGATTTGTTTGATTTACTTTTGAATATTATATTAATGAATTATCAATGATTGTTTTCTTTGTTCGAACGGAAAATTTAGTCTCTCATCAATGATGGATTTTAACGATTATTTATAAAAAGTTTCGTAAGATTCTTGAAAATTGTTCGTTGGATAAACGAAATGTTACCAAGCTGGTCTCGTGACAGATTGAAATCTCTGACATTAAGAAAATGGGGGATCTCGACTCCCAACGGGAAAAGGCTGGAAAGCCCTCTGACTCCGATGGTGGGTGACGGAGAACGAGAACGCGGAGAGAAGGTGAGATTATACATTGCTCGACAGCTTGGAATATCTTTCTCTTGTAAATCATCTTGTTTCTCGCTCTAATTACAATAATTGCTTCGATTTTCAAAAGATAAACTTTTATGAGAATTCACCAATTTCTTATCCAAGGACATTTCCAACGAATTGGAATAGAGAATTAGTTTTTTCGAAGGAACACATTAATATAAATTCGTTTCTATTTTCTTTTCGGCATTACATCACGGTTACTTTTGAAATATTTCACATTTTGTCTTCATAACAAATTAACATCCGGTTAACGAAAGAGTAAAGATACAGGAAGTGAAAAAGTTGCGTGAGTTTCCGGAAGCTGGAAAGCCCTGTAGCGCGGTGGCACATTCAAAGGGGGTGGGAAAGAGGATAGAGAGAGAGAGAGAGAGAGAGAGAGAGAGAGAGAGAGGGAGGAAGCAGCGTTAGAGAACTAGCAGGGGTGGGTATATTATGGGGAATGCCAGAGGAATCCCGAGGGAGCAAGAGTGGAGACCAGCGCGCATGCGTCGAGCTGATTAGTCCCTTCCTCTTTCCCTCTTCATCCCTCTCACTCTTATTCACTCGCTCTCCCACCTTTTCCCTCCCGCTCTATGTTTCTCTCTGTTTCTCTCTCTTGCTCGCGCGTTCCCGTGTGCTGGTAGCGCCAGAGGAGAACGTAGATTCCCTCGGGATCTGGCCCCGCAGCCTCTTCGCGTCCTCCTATCCTTCTGCTTTCTTCATCCCCTTCCTCCCCCTCTCTATCTACCTATCTATCTGCCTGCCTATCTATCTCTCTTTCTCTCTCTCTCTCTCTCTTCCATTTTATTTCTTCGTCTTTATCTTTCTGTGACTCTTAACTCGTTTGTTTCTTTCTTTCTTTTTCTTTTTTGTTTTCTTCCCATTCTTCTATTTACTAAGAAAGCTTTTTAGTTAATCAAGAATTTGTTGAAAAATATATAATTTGTTATTTTGATATATTAGAGAAAAAAGAATATATATTTAAGAAAAGAGAAAGATAATCGTTTCGTTTGATCGTTAAGTTCGAATTGTATGTAGGAACGGAAGAAGAGAATCTTCCAAGGAAGAAAAGCAGCGCGTCGTTTCGCAAACGACTCTTGATCAAGAGCAAGGAAAACGGCTTTAGGTCGACGCGATGATAGTGGTAGTGGGTTTTGATGGTGTTGGTGCTGCTGGTGCTAGCTTCTTGCTAGTGGTAGAGTCTAGGGAAGAGGTGAAGAGAGGAGACGAGAGGAGAGGCACTTTCTCGGTGCGACTGTACTCGCCGATATAAGGGTGTCCCAGGTGACGAGCTGCCTCGGGCCGTGCCACGGCTCTACGTATCCCTTGGGACCGACTCCCGGTGTTTCCCTCATCCCCCTGTTCTCTTTCTCTCTCTCTCTTTCTCTTTCACTATCCCATCCTTACTTGTTCTCCTTATCCCTAGTATACACGTACACATACAATGTCATCTTTCGTCTTCTACATTGAAATATCGAAGAACGTGGGTGTTTCCATGTATAAATGTGCAACTGTATGCGTCTATGAGAGGACACAAGGATGCGCTATTACACGCGAACGCGTGATTACACGTAGAAACGTTGAGAAACCGGGCAGTAACGTTGTGAGCTCTTTCTCTCTCTCACTCACTCACTCACTCACTCACTCACTCACTTGCTCGACACAGAATAGATACACCGACTAGCGAGAAACGCACACAGAGAAATTATGACATGGTCT